AGCCCCAGTATTTTAAGCTTCTGGTAATTCATAGCTATCATGCCTAAATAGTTCTGCCTGTTCTAAATTTGCCCTGCATGTGTACCTTTCAAGAATAGTTCTTTTAGATGATAAACCCCTATTTTCAAATGCAAATGTGTTTTTGAAATGTATCTGTTCAATCACTTCTCCCTCAAAATCATACTAGAGCTGAATTACTCCAAAGGAATCCATAGTGAAGCACAGAACATTTTCAAGCATAATCCTGTGGCGCTTTTCATCTAAAAAGGTGACTAACAGCTTGCATAAGCTTATAACCAGACTTAAAGCTTAAAATCCCTGTGGAGTTTGCAAAGGGCATTGAGAAAGTGAGCCAAACCTGGGAAACATAAATGTCTTTGCATGCTGACTTATCTACCAGTCACGAAACCAGTCTGATTGAAAATTGTTGTTACTCATTTCAGCTCCACAACCTCTATTTTCCTGCCAGGGAGTTGAAAAGCACTCCTTCAGCTGTTAAGAAAAATAAGAAATGGCTCCAATCTGACAAATGTTAATTAGGTCATACAATGTGGGGAAAAGAGATTTGAAGTGAGATGAAACCCAAGCACCTACCTGACATCGAGTGGGTAATTACAAATAGATGTTTGGGGAAAAAATGAATGAAATCTAGTCTCAGGACTGGAATTAACCAGTTCTGTGACCTAGGAGAACTCACTCTCCCCTCCAGTTTCATTTTACTTGGCCCCGATGATTTCCTAAGACTCGTTCTAGTTCCACAGTCTCAGATTTTAAATCAGACCTTAATTATGTACTAAGTAAAGTAGAAGACACTTAATTTGAAGGATGACATGCCGACAAAGATAGTTAAGAAGATGACAAGGCAGCATGGAAACTACTTATTACATAATATGGAACACGAAATGTTTCTAAAGTCCTCCCGAAAGCTGTGTAACATTCTGCACAATCAAACTGAAACCGAAAGGGAAGAAGGAACAAAGAAAACAAAGTGAGATCATGGTTGGGTGAAGCTCCCCTATATCTTTATTTCCATTAATTTGCTCTTTGATGGTTAAAAATCGTATTCTGAGGGAAGCATTTCTGCAATGTTCCGTGGAAGAACTGTTTGCCTGCAGTTTGCTGTCATCTATTTTCTCAGCTTCCAAGGTGATGTTAGCCAGGTTGATCTCGTTGCTATTTATGGACTTTCCCTTTCCAGAGCTCAATATTGTTTCTCAAGCATTCACATACCTTGTGTCCCAGGAGCTAGGCAGACCCTTATCCTCTCAGCCCAAATCTAGAATCAGCGCCTCAGACTTCACGTGCTCTCCCTCCCCTGCTGACCTGGGAGAACAAGCATTGACCGGAAGGGTGCAGTCAGAGCACCTCAGGTGGAAAGGGGTCTTGGAGTTTGTCCTTGCTCAGATGTACTCCATTTGAAGCATCTGCTTGGTTCATGAAGAAGCCTTTCTCTACCCCAACTTGACCCTCAGCTGAAGACCTGGCTCCATTTTGGACGGTATGTCTGCTCCCCACACAGCAACATTTGATCAGACCAGTGCTGAGGCCCTGACCCAAGATGGCAAAACACATAGTCTCTTTCCCAAAAACTTGAAATCAGAACCAAGGAAGAGTCAGTCTCTCTTGAGATGACTAAATGCAAAAGATGTCAGGATGGGTGCTATAGGAGACACTTTTTGATCACCCATGTGGATAGTAGAAGCACAGAAACCTCCTTGGAGGTGGGGGTGGGACAGGATATCCCTGAGAAGAGAATCCTTTTCCAGCCCCTTCGAGGGGGGCTACAGCTGTCCTTGTTTCTGTGAACCAGCCTGAATCCTTAAATAAAGTCCCCTTTCAATTTAAGTGAAGGTGAGCTGGTTTTTGTTACTTATAATCAAAAACATCCAAACACAACTCCTTCCCTCAGTGTATCTACAGGAACCTTCCAGAATACCACATAAGGCCTTGTGTGGTCTGATCCTGCCTAGAGTGCTAGCTTGTCACCCACTTGCCTCCCAGCCTGGCTGGCTTCAGTTGGCGGTGCCCACACACCTTGCTGCTTCCTGGCTCTCTAGCTTTGTAGCTGCTCTGCTGAGATGCCAGCCAGTCCACCGAGCTCCCTCCCCAGCCCAGAGTCATGGGCAGGTAGAAAGCACAGCTGCAGGGGTCTGCTTCCTTCCAGCCTTTACCTTCAGCCTTGCTTATGATTAAAGCACTCAGACAGAGTGCCGCCCGGGATGCTGGGAACTGCTCTTCTAATCCATGCGAGCAAGAGCAGATGGAACTTTCAGAGAGCAGGCCCGCCCCAGGAAACTGAGGAAGCCCAGCCTCACTGCTGCAGCCTGAGACGATGTTATTCTCATTAGGCTTTGCCACATTCTCTATTTATAAGGATTTCCTGGGCATCCAGGTTAAAGGCTGGTAGTGCCCAGCATCCCCGAGCTTAATGAGAAATCAACAGAATGGTGAAAAAAGTAAATCTGGGGAACATTTTGCATTATAGGGCACAACAAGTGAAAGAAAAGGTTTCTCTGAACCTGCCTGTGAAGAGGAACGCTTCATCTCCCAAAAGCTCTTCTGAAGAGCAGCAAATGTTCACATTTCAGACCTACCTGGTTGAAAGGAATGTCAAGCGATGGTTGTTAGCACTGCATAGCGCACATGCACTGCCTGGCGAAAGCCGTCTAACAAAGGGGTAGCATCCCGGGTTTACAGACGAGGAAACTGAAAGTACAAGGCTGAGCGACATGCTGAGGTTAGTTGGGGACAAAGTGGGCCTCCAGGGAGAGGTCCTCTTCCCCAGGGCTTCTCAAAGTATGTTCCCTGGGCCGGGGGCAAAAGGAGCATGGGAGTTGGGGTTTAATGGATGGAGAGTTTCAGTTTTGCAAGATGAAGAGCTCTGGAGATGGTGACGCAATAGAACCCATGTACTTAACACAACTGAACTGTATTTAGAAACGGTTACATGGTCAATGGTGTACTATGTGTGTTTTACCATAATTAAAAAGAAAAAACATTTAGGTCACACAGGAAAGAAACCATCCCTTTTTCTGCCTCTGGATGTTGTCACATCCATATACACCTGGAAGAGTTACTAACATTTTGGAGGTCTGAGGAGATTAAAAAATGAGAAGAACGCAAATTGTGTACGCTGCGAATATTATATTAACAAGCCCCAGACTGGTTTTATCTCCTGAATTCTTTTCATATGAAATAGCATTTCATGTTGCTTAAGCGACTTTGAGTTGGGTTTTCTGTTACTTACAGCCAACGCCTCTGAACAGATCCAAGGTTCTAAGTACCCACCAAAAGGCAAGCAGCCAGTATTGCTTATGAAAACAAAAAGACCCCTCTTTGCAGCTTTCAATCTCGTGCCACAGCAACAAAATTGTCTGGTGGTGATTAGAGAGGAAGTCGCTCCATGCCCAACTTGCTCATAATGATTATAGCCTTTTATTTTCCAGGGATTTCTATCAATAGATGCTTTTATCAATAAACACTAACTTGCCATTCTCTTGGAATGCTATCATATTGTGGAAGACAATGCAACTATTCAAATGAGGCTGAAGGGGGTTGCTTATTAATGTGCAGAGCTTCCTCCCTGAGCATTAAGTGGGGCTAAATGCAAGTTACAAAGTGGTGTGATTCAATTTCATGTGCATTAGTTCCGACTACTTATATATAGGCCGGCAGGCAGATGACAGATAGATGAGTGGATATAAATATACAATATACATGGAGAGAGAACAAGAGAGCAAACAAAGTACTAACACTGGTTCTATCTAGGAGGTGGTGTTAGAGGTATGTTTTATTTTCTTCTTTTTGCTTATATATTTTTCTAAATTTTCTTCGATGAACCTACCTGATTTTATGATATATAAGTATAGATCTTTTAAAAAACCTTTATGATTCACTTGGGGATATGTGATTTTTCTCAAACAGCTGAGAATTTAATTTTCTATGTGTCTAACCTTTTTATTTTAACCACTTCGGGGACCTCTCCATAATGTATGACATAGGTGCCTGCCCTTTAAGTGGCCTCTACTGATCTTAATCCACAATACTAATGACACAGATTTATTATTCCAAACCCCATCATGGCACTGTGATGTCCTTGGATAAAATGCAAGGGCCAGAACATACTGGCTAAGTGACCCCAGTTTACTGTGTTTTAGTCCTTGGATCTGCCTCCAGTCAGTTCAGTGTCTTCTGACGTTCCACATCAGTTGTCAATGTTTGTGTCTATTGCACACCGTCTGCTCCCGCTACCCTGCAGCTTCTAATATAAAAATCCTGGAAAATCAGATGAACTCTGTGGTCATAACTGGGTGTAAAGTAAGAGTAAATGCTTTCTGAGTGAAAGTGCAGGGCAGCTCTCGTGTGAGGGAGCCCATGCGCTTCAGTGTAGAGGCTTCCTCGCCATCTCGGCTGCACACAGCCTTTTATTTTTGGCTTGCCTCTTGGTTCTTGCATGTATTCCAATTGGTGAGGAAGCTGGAGAGCAGGGTTCTGCATAAGTGAAGTGGGAGTGTTTCTGATAACAAATAGCTACTCGATTAAGAAATAGCATGCCTCTGACTCTCTGGACATCTCGCTCCAAAAGAAGGAAGCTGCAGATGGTAAGAACAGAGCCAACTTGGGTCCCTTCTACCCCCATCCAAGTGAGGTTATTTAGGTTCACCACCTGGTTATTAGATTCGCCAGATGGCAAGCCTCAGTAACTGCTCAGAAAGAGCATAACCAGCCAATCCATTACCCCAGCACCGTCAATGCCGTTCATTTTACATGTGATGCACATACTAGTACATAATATGGGTAATGAGGCGTCACGGAGCCGTCATAAAGGCGGCCATCTGGGCTCATGTGGGGCAGGCCTGGGCATCACAGCCATGGGAAAAACCCAACTGAGTCTTCTGCAGCGGGGATGAGGAGGAGGCGTGGGGGTGGGAGAGGCAGGGTGGGCGTGTGCCCCATGGGCTGCTGCTCACAGTATTGTAATATTTTGCTTCTGTCTCTAGGACGTTGCTGACTCCTGCCCAGTCACACCAGTGCTCAGGTTTACTCTGTTGTCATTTTCCATTTTGATGGAAAGTAATGATATTTGTGCATCGATGCTGGAAAAATAGAACAATGACCAGAAGTGGTTTTGAACACTTGGCCAGCTGCAGTGCCATTCTGGCAGTGACAGAAATGATATTCCTCTGGGAGACAGTGAGTGTGTCTGTGGGCAGCTGCGGAGGTGGGGGTAGGGGGTGGTCATGCTCTCTGGCTCTCCTCTGGAACGGGCTTGTGACAGAAGAGCTCCAACTGGTCCCGCTGGGGCTCACACCTGTAGGACCTGGCATCACACAGAAGAAGACCCAAAAAGAAAAGCAGGTGAACCAGGCCATGCCCAGAGTTGGCCATTATGAGCTCCACAGGGCTTTCTTGTCATGGTTCACATCCCTTCTTGTCTCTTCACCTCACAGCGCCCAGCACAGCACTGCCCAGGCCAAGCAGTCAGGTCCAGGTTTGTGGGAGCCAATCCCCTTATTCAGCAAATATTCAGTAGCTGCCAGACCCTAGGGGAAACTGGGGTCTCTCTATGCTTTCTGACAACTGCATGTGAATCTACGATTGTCTCAAAATAAAGCTTCCTTTTAAAAGTAAGTTAGAATATGTCTAAAAGAGAGTGACTAAACAGAAACAAGTGGAGAGATCCAGAAATATTAAGGGAGGGGGCAGGAAGAGGAGGAGAGGAGAGCGTGCCAAACATCTGACTGCCCGGTGGGCGAGGGCAGAGGTGGGACAGGGGATAGGAACAAAGGCAGGGGAGGAAGAGCCCTCGCTGTGGCATGGATTGAGAAATAGAGGTGAGAAATCGGAGGTGTTCAGCAGGGATGCTGAGACCTGAGCCAGGAAGTCCCTTTACAGACCAGGCTCCTTCAGACCCAAATGGCCATTCAGTAGGCACCATGTAGACTTCCCCCCGCCTCTAGGAATGGATGAGATGCTGACCCATTTTTGGAAAGCAGTTTTTCTCACTGGTTCATTTTTTTCTTCCGTACAGACCTGTGCTCATAAATGAAGACCGTCCGTGGCCCTAATCAGAACTTTACAAGTTAAGTCTTTTCATGACTCAGTTTCGGAGCCAGCCGTTGGGGTGGGAGGTGCTCTGCAACTTACGACTTATCCTAAGGCATGCTCACCGTTCCTGCTGCCGTCCCAGCCATGGCCTCCTCAGGGCCCTGCCCACAACTCCTGTCGTGGCCAAGGAAGAGAAATGATGCCTGAGGGGTGAAAAGGAAGAAGCCAGGAAACACTTCCCTCATGCTTTATATCAAATAGGCCTTATTTGCTCATCAAATAAACAGAAATAAACCAAAAATGCCAAAGAGAATTCAACATGTCACATGTTTACAGTGTGGTCTATATTAATGTCATGTACATGTTAGATCCTCCAAACATACATGACAATCATCCTGTGAGGCCAGAAATACTGGGCCTCTCTTGACCCACAAGGACACCACAGCATATGGGATTCCTGGAATGACAGAAAGAGCGAGAGAAAGCAGGTCTCACACTCCCAGCTCTGAACTCTCGTGCCCATTCCTTGTCCTCCACCCTCCTACTCCAGGCTCCACGGTTTAGCTTCTGCAGATCATGTTCTTTGCACCTTCTCTTTCTGGCTTGGCTCTCCTGTCATTGGCCCCATGCCCCCTCATCCTATCTTTATCAGTGTTACACCACTTACATCTCAGTTCCTAAACATTATGCTCAGCGTCTGTACTAATTAAGTCACCCAGAACTGCCGAGTCTCTGGTCTCACTAGTCTGATGCTTTTTTGGCTCCTGAGCACTTCCCTGATCTCCTCTACTGCCTACATGCAAAATAATTCCTTTTGGGAGTAGACTGAAACAAAACTTCCTTGGGTGCCAACCGGTTGACCCTCAGTGACGTTTCTGCACGTTTCACATTCAGTGTGGCATGGAGCATGGCCAGACCAAAACCAGGGAGACCTTTAAACCAAGTCTAAATGGTTAAATTCCTTCCATATCCTTAAGAACACAAAAGAAAGAAAAATAAAACTTATCGAAAATTTTCTCCAACATGGCTTTTATAGACACGCATAGCCTGGAGGCTTAATGACTAACCTTAAGGCCAGCTTAAGCCAGGGGTTTGCACATACAGAGGAAGGGGTGGGGGCACATCACCAGAAATTCAAAACTCCAGTTATCTGAAGAAAAGGCTCTTCATACTGCTCCATGTGAGAACTGCCCTACAACTAGCCAGTGAACTTCAGGCAAGCCCACATTTCTTTGCTCCTAACCTGCTTCTCAGCCAATAAAATTTAATTCCTTTCTTCTCAACCCTGGTCCCCAAAACCTATCTAACCTTATTCCTTCGCTTAATGGGGGCTGAAAATTTGAGTTTATCTCTTATCTCCTTGCTAGCCAACTTACAGTGATAAAACTGATTTTTCAAATACCTGATGACATCATGTGATCTGTGCGTGTCAGGGAGTGACCCCATTGCTAGGTAACAAGCTCAGTGACAGAATCAGCAGCAAGCCAGAGCTCCAGGAGTCCAGTAGGGAGAGGCCAAGAGTTCATGAGATCCACCGTGGCTGCTATGAAATATGAACCATGGATGAGGAGTTGGGAAACTGGCTGATACTATAGGCCATAGCCTGACAGAATCATCTAACTTACTGGTTTGTCTGGCATTGGGGAGATTTGAAGGGCCAGGTGTGACTGTCTCCTTTTGCTCCACAATGTCTTAAAGGCACCACCTGTCACCTGGCAGAGGACTGATTCAGCAGCCTGAGAGTTCACAGGGGGCCAGCCTGCCTTGGATACAGCCCTGTAGGTTAGAGCCAAAGCATCTCACACAACAGTGATAGGTTAAAGCCAACAGATGTCTTCACACCCTAAATCATAGAGAAAGTCAAGATGGGAAAGGAATGATGACAGTGTCCCTTATCAAAACAGACACCTTATCACAACCTATTTAGTAGAAAATATATTGAAAACAAAAGTTGAAATCTCCATCCAGACTGCGGTGCCTAATTTATCACTGACAAAAAGAAAGCATTTAATAAAATCCTCCTTTAAGTTATATGTAGAATAGGAACTAAATGGAGCAACTCACCACAGAGCAGCCCACCCCAAAGCTCATGCTGCAGTGCAAACAACCATAAGATAGAAAAACAGGCACAACACATAAACCCAACATATATGCATTGAGCACACTTATGATGAGTTCTGATGTGATGTTGGAGTGTAGACTGGTACGTCTACACTCCAACCAGTCTACACTCCAACCTTACACCAGAACTCCCCTTTAAAGTTTTCAAAGCAAGTTCACATATACAGGTCAAATCTGATCCTCATAAAACCAAATGATGTAAGATTGTCATATTTGAGATGAATAAATGAAGGCCCCAAGATTAGATGGAAGGTCCAAGGTCATATGACTAGTACTTATTATACCTTGGATCCATGACTACCGAGTCTTTTCTGCATTGGGAAAGAATCTCAGGGAGTATTTGTCCTTCATGCCCTCTCCTGCTTATGCCAAGCCTGGACTTCAACCTCTACACCTGCTCTACACAGATGTCTTGGTACTCTGCCTGTACCTTTTTTGGTAGGAAGGGTAGCATATCAGTAAGAATATGTTCAGCTTCAAGCAACAAAAAAACCCAACTAACAGCAATCTAAGCAATAAAGACACAACAAAAGACATGAAATTAGGCAACGTTGGAGTTGGCACCACAGCTCAAAATTGTCTTACAAGAAAAGGAATCACCACAAAAGAACTTAGATCTTTCTTTCACTCTACCATACTTGGACTTGTTACCTCATGGCTATAAAATGGCTGCTACCACTCTAGGCTCCTGTTCTCACAGGAACGCATCCAGAGGCAGATGCAGGTCCCATCCAGCAGCCAGGGGGACAAGGAGGAGGGTCTGGCACTTGCGGCTTTCATAGCAGCAGGGAGGGGCATGAAAGGAGGAGTTGGGAGTGGCTATCAGAACAGCTGACCCTTTATGTCTGCTCCCCATAACTTGCAGATACCTGATCTGGGTCAGGGCTGAAAATTAACTTCACCTGAACAGAAATATGAATTTCTTGACACTAACTATAGGTTGCTTTATTAGTAGTGTTCTACTGTGGCATAAAAACCACAGGCTTAGCAGCTTAAGACAACACTCATTTATTTTCTCACAGTTCTATAGGTCAAAATTCCGGGGAGACTCAAGTGCGTTCTCTAATTAGGTATTTATAAAGCTAAAAGCAAGGTGTTAGCAGGGTTGAGCTCTCATCTGGTGGCATGTGGAAGAATTTGTTTCCAAGTTCATTTTGCTGGTGGGCAGAATTCAATTCACTGCAATTGTAGTACTGAGGTCTCCATGACCCGGCTGGCTGTCCTTCTAGGTTCACTGTCAGCCCCCAAGGCCACTCTCTGTCCTTGCACATAACACCTCCAGCTTCAACAGCAATCATGTGCATTGAATCCTTCTTATACTTTTGATTCTCTGCCACCAGCTGAAGAAAACTCCATGCTGTCAAAGGGCTCATGTGATAATCCGCCTCTTGCCACAATCACAGAGTAACACCAGCAGGTGAAGCTCGTGGGAGCCATCTTAAAATTCTGCCTACCTTGGGCCTCCCCTGGTGGTGCAGCAGCTGAGTGCTGGGCTGCGAGGCTGCCCGCAGCCTCTGCAGCGCCAGTTCGATCCCCGGCCACCGGGCGAGGGTCCCACATGGCGCGCAGACCTCTCCTGTCTCACCCACTGCTCCCCTCAGCAGTGTATTTCTCCATCAGTCTGCCTGTTCTGTTCCCTGCTCTCGCTCTGGTGAATTCTCTCACCCTCCCGTGCTTCTGACTGTGCCCAGTGCTTATATAAATAAATTTAAAAAGAAAAAAAAAAAGCTTACTCCTGAAAAAAATTTAAAAAAAAATTCTGCCTACCTTGGTTAGCATGGAAAAAACAAAATCAGTATTTATATAGGAGCCATCTTAAAATTTTGCCTACCTCAGTTAGCATGGAAAAAATAAAATCGGGATTTATTCTCGGAGTCCTGACCCACCCTTCCTTGGACAATGACGAGGGCAGGAGGACTCCCACTCAGAATGGGCTCTGCAAGCAAAAAAGGGCAACCAAGACACTCTGATTTGATGAACTTTGTTTTTTCTGTTAAGCTGAGATACTAACACAGTAGAAAGCCATCTAGCTGCTAGATACTTTTTTTTTTGCAAACAATAGTATCTAAGAACCACTGACCACAACAAAGATTCCTGAGTCCTTTAATCCTCCCCATTCTCTCCGCCCTCCCCACTCCCCAATACTCTCCGATCTCCTTGGCCTCAGGGACTCATGAAAAATCTGACTGACTAGAGTCTGATAGCTTCTTGCAAAAGTACTCGATGTGCATTGATTTCTCATGTCGATTTTGACCAGTTTGCTTCTATCTATTAGGCAAAAGAGAAGGACAAGGGTTTATGGGGTAGTGTTTATAACGAGCCTTTGTGGGCCTGTCCTTGTCTTCCTAAAAAGAAATCACATGCCTCCCTTCTAGACAGATGCCTCATTACCAGCCCTGTCAATGTTTTCTGTTTCGCTGCCTTAAACTCAACTCTGGCCTGTGTTTCTCATTTCAATTCATGCCCCCTGTTTTATGACTTCTATTTGAATTTAGCTTTTTCTTCCTCCACCAAAAATCAAAAACCACAAGTCCCCAAAGAGTTTATGCATGTCTGTACAAACACGTGGAAATCCTCAAGAACCACCGATCATCAACCAGGAACAGCTAGATGCCTTTCCAAAGACTTTACTTTCGTGGAAGCTTATGTTTACCTTTCATTTTAAGTGCTTTCAAGCCCATTCTCTTGAAGTCCTCGCCTTACCAGGAGCCCTGTTCGTTTGCTCTTGTTGCCTCCTTCATTCAGTAGAACCATCCATCAGCTTCTGAAACAAGGCAGCTTGTGTGTGGAATCAAAAGCCATCACATCACAGATGGCAAGAGAATGCAGTGGGCATTGTTGTTTGTACACAGGCCTTCATCTCTCTGAGAAGTACCTCTGTTTGAAATGAATGAGGCAGACAAGAGGGGTGGCTTCAAAAGCAAGTAGACTCCTTTGGGCTTTTCTTGTTGAAAGCCCTGCACAGCACTCTTACTAGAAAGTGAGAAGAATAAAAGGCAAATCCAAAGCTGGCTACAGGTTCTTCTTTACTTTGAAGATTTGGGTTTGCAAGGTTAATGGGAAAGAGGGTGTTTATTTTCTCCTAGTGATTAGGCATAAAAATTACATAAACTTCCCTCACCAAGAGCCTATCCCAGAAGTATGAGAGGCTCCTCTCTTTGCTGGTGTCTCTGAAGGGTGTCATGGCTGCTGAGAGTAGAGCTAACATCACTACTGTTGCCATGGTTACGGTTGCTGGACCAGAGGATTGGCTGATCCTTGGCCCACCTCTTCCATCCCCTTTCCTCTGTAGCAAGAAGCCTCCTTATTCCCTGATTCATTTTGTATTTGGCTGGAATGTCGGAGAGCACAGTTTTCGCTAGTAGCTCAAGACCCTTCTGAAACTTCTTCATGACCCTAATGTTGATAAGGACTTAAAATCTTGGCTAGTGAGAAAAGTTAAAGTTAGATTCAAGATGCAAACAGATGGTCATTCAAGATGCAAACAGAGGATCGTCACCTTTTATACAAACCTATAGAGGCTTTATGTGACTGCTAGGGATTTCAGAGTCAAATACCTAGCCCAGCACCAGGATGAAAAGAACAGTGCAAGATGCATTTGCTGTGTCACCTCATTCATGAACTTGCCTTTCTTGCTTCCCACCCTATTTTCCCTACTTCAATTTTCTTTTTAATAAGTCTTGCCTTGAAGGATAAGCACATTCCTCAGAAATCCACTGGGCCCTTGCTATTAGAATGAAAGGGAAAAAATTACAAAGGATCTCTGTTCAGGAAGGGAAAATTATACAATGCAAGGCACCTAGAACATATGTTGTATAAAAATCAAATGGAATCATTTAAATGCATTATTTTCTATTAACGAAAAACATTGGCAACAAATACACTAAGACTAGAAGAATACAGAGAAGATTAGCAAGTCCCCTGGTCAAAGGTGATATGAAAATTCCTGTAGCTTTTCATGTATTTAGATGTTAGTCAAAGGGTATAAACTCCCAGGCTTAAGATAAAGAAGATTTGGGAGCTAGTGGACAACATGTCGACTATGGTCAATAATACTGTATGATACACTTGATGGTTTTGAGAGTGATGCTTAAATATATGCTATCACCACACACACAAATTTGTGTTATGTAAAGGGGTGAAGATGTTAACTAACTTTCTTGCAGTAATCATTTTGGAATATATACATGTATCCAATCTTCACGTTGTATACCTTAACCTTAAGTATGCTTTCAACAATGTCTCAATAAAGCTGGGAGAGAAAATTGCTCACACAGAGAAAAAATGAACAAAATGTATGTAGGTGTGTGTGTGTGTGTGTGTGTGTGTGTGTGTGTGTAGATATACATTTGATTGGCTTCAAAAATTCCTGATACCAGGTAGGGATAAGCACAGAGCATGCTTAACCCCAGAAAGTTCCCAGAGTACCAAGGGGTCTGTTACAAGAAGTCGCTCACAAAAAACAGCAGTGGTCCCTTTGGAAGCCCAGATCAGGCCAGGTGGACATGCCATACCTTCATATTGTTGCTTCATGGGCTCTGGGGGTCCCAATTTCTTGCCCATAGTAAAGCTTTACAAATAAATGCAGAATAAATGGAAAAGATAAATTAAAATAGAACATTATGCCTGTCTGCTAAATAAGTTCATGGATAATCTTCAAATTAGGAATGATTAGGTAGGAATGATTTAGCAGCATCAGGAAAGTGGATGCCATAAAGGGCTTTAGTCCTTTTAATCCTCTCAACAACACTTTGAGGGAGATGTTTTTATCTCCGCTTCTTTCAGATGAGGTTAAGGAAGGTTAAGTAATTTGTGCAAGACCACGTAACTCGTAAGTGAAATTCCCAGGATTTAAGCCCAGAGCTGTCTAATTCTAAAAACAGACATTCCCCCAGTTTACTCCAATATTTTCCAAACCTTTCTCTTGTTAAGAACACAGATCTGAGGCACCGTCCTAGATCCACTGCATCAGAATCTCCAGGGAGGGACTTGGAAAAGTATGTTTAATGTGAGACACGGTGATTATTACAGCCGGAGAAGTTGAAAAAAACTGCTCTATCCGTGAAATGGAGAATGGTTGCCTGTCTCCCTCTGACTGATCAAACAGAAACCAGCAGGGATTTGAAGATCATACCACTAAAAATAAACCATGTTATTCTGGAGTTTATCAAATCATGATACAGCATTCCCTCTTTTTCGCTGGAAGATAGACCCTGCCCCGAGTCGATGCCTGAGACCACAGAGAGCGCCAAATCCTTTACATGCTATGTTTTTTCCTACACATACACATCTATGAAAGTTTAATTTCTAAAATAGGCACTGTAAGACATTAGCAACAATAACAAATGGTAAATTATAGTCAAATATTGTAATGAAAGTAACATTGTGGTCTCTTTCTCTTTCAAAATATCATAAGCAGGGCCTCCCCGGTGGCGCAGCGGTTGAGCGCTGGGTTGCGAGGCTGCCCACAGCCTCTGCAGCACCAGTTCGATTCCCAGCCACCGGGCGAGGGTCCCACATGGCGCGCAGACCTCTCCTGTCTCGCCTGCTGCTCCCCTCAGCAGTGTACTTCGTCAGTCTGCCTGTTCTGCTCTCCACTCTGGCTCTGGTGAATTCTCTCGCCCTCCCACACTTCTGACTGTGCCCCAGTGCTTGTATAAATAAATAAATGGGTCTTTAAAATATATATATATATATATATATATATCCTAAGCAGGTAACATTTTTGGACCATGGTTGACTGCAAGTCGCTGAAACCACAGATTAGGGGGAATGACTATATTAAAGGATATTTACTCAGCGTTGTCTGATGTAAGGTTACCTGGATTTGTAAATACCATGACCCCTTTGGAAAGTTTAAAATGGCTTTAATTTAAACTCCAGGGGCTTTTCTTTCAGCTTTCCTCTCGCCCCTCTTTGCTCTTTAGAAGCAAAAGGGAATTAAGAATTCAGTTTCAATTCCTGGCAGCTTTATACAGAGGTTCCAGTTGTGCTGGAAGGTGGCCCACAGGCTGAGACTCAGTCCTCCTTGTGTCTGGGTGTCCAACAGATGGCTGTCAAGTCAGCTACTTAGTCCAGGAAGTAGGAAATCCATCACTTCTTGGTTTGGGGGTTTGTTTGTTTTTTTCCAAGTCTCAATGATTCTACCCTTGATGAAAAGAGCCAAAGCCAACTAAGCCTACAGTTTCAATCCCCATCACGGGTGCACACAATTTACCTTAATTTATACTTTGATTTTGCTCCTTTTATCCCAGATTTGCCTGGTCCCTTCTGCCTTCTTTCTGGGTTCCCCACCAGAAGGTGCCTTAGACTGTGGCAAGTTTCAGATCACAGCAGCCCTGCTTTGGGTCAACCCTGCTTGGCTGGGCATTTACTCACAAGGGAATGGGTAATTTGGGGTGCTTTACTGAAAAAATATTATCCTTTCTTCTCTTCTCTCTCTATGTTCACTAATCTATTAAAGTTCTTACACACTTAGAATATGCTTTGCCTTTATGCTGTAGACGGTAGAACCTCTTTAGAGTATGCAAGATTGGGGGCCCGAGGGTACTCCCCAGTCTGAATGCTAATAAGCTGAAAAGGCTGCAAGAGTTTGCATGGTATGTTTGCAGTTGTATTTTAAAAAACAAGCAAAAAAACACCAGATTTATAGACATAAAAAATAATTTGGAGGTAATCACATCAAAATGTCAAGAGTGTTTTTCTCTGGATGGTAAAATTATGGATGTTCTTCCCCATGTTTTACTTTTTATTTTCTTATTTTTCAATAATAAACATTTATTGATTTTATAATAGAAAAAGTTATTAAGAATAAAACATTCACCAAAATGAGCTCTGGTTGATTAAAGATTTAAACATAAGATCTAATTATGGAGGAACTTGCAGAAAATTGAAAAAAAAAAGTGCTTATCACCTCACTGGGGGAATTTTAACTTTCTCAGCTTTGAAGCAATTTAAATGATTGCACTATAAAAAATAGCATTACTAAAGATTTTTAAGAGGGAAAATATTTCTAACAAACATTACAAAGAATTAAGATCTATCCTAAATAACAAACTCAAATTTGTAAAATAAATGTCAAGATTCCAAAAGATAAATAGGTAAAAGACAGGACCACTCCCATAAGGGAAATGCAATTAGTAGACAAACAGTGGGAAAATGTTAATGCTCAGGAGAAATCAAAGAAATGTAAATGAAAGTGCTCTGAGTGTGACAATTTACATATTCTAAAGGAACAAAAAAAAAATCCCCAAATGCTAATATCTAATGATGATGAAGCTGCCCAGAAATTGACTCATACATTCATTTATAACCATCTCATTTCCACCCTTTAGTCAGAAAGTTACCACTAAGAATTTATCTTATGAAACTATTGGCAGCCACTGCAGCACGAGTTCAATCCCTGGCCAGGGAGCAAGCCACATGGTGCAGCAGACCTCTCCTGTCGCACCCGCTGCTCCCCTCAGCAGTGTATTTCGTCAATCTGCCTGTTCTGTTCTCCACTCTGTTTCTGGTGAATTCTCTCACCCCCACACCTCTGGCCTACACCCCTGCTCTTCTATGCATAAATAAATAAAATAAATCTTTAAAAAAAAAAAAAAGAAATAATTTAACTGAAACAGAAAGGTTCCTCCTCATCTCCCTGACTTCTTGATGCTGGAACCACCAGGGCTGGGCCCTGCTCGCCCTGCTCGCGTCACATGCACTGTTTGCAGGATCTCATCTGTGCACCCGAATCCTCTCCTCATGGGTCTCCAGAGAAAGCAGACCAGAGCAGAGATTTCCCAGGGGGCCAGGTAGTGAGGGTGAGGGCTTCTGAAGGCAAGTCATGGACTCTGCAGTCAGTCAAAGGGGACAGTGAAGACAAAAGAGGCCAACAAAGAGAGCCAGAGAGTAGACTAAAGTGGGCTTCATCATCATATTAATCCTTTAAATGAACAACCAAAGGTCTCAGGTTCTTTCCTCCAAGGAGTATCCGTGAGGTGCCCAGGAATTCCTTGACTGGAGAGGCCCTCAGCTCATCTTCAGGCACCAGAGTTCAGCTGTCCCTCACCCCCACTTCCACAGCCTGTGGAGCTGACTTTGGTGAGGCAGTCCACTCACGTTTTACTCCTTTATGGTCTCTAAACCACTTAAGGAGGGCACCTCAGCACTCCCTCCAGGCTTCTGAGAGAACCCTGCCCCCTTAGGAGTTA